GAGAACACTCTCGAGAGAGAGTGGGCCCTCTCTGAACAGAGAACACAAAGGAGACAACGCTGTCTCCAAATTTATTACTGTTTGGTGTTTACCAGGAGAACTGGGGACCACCTTCTGTACTCTCCACCAGCCAGGTGTTCAACTCCTCCTTCACATTGAGTGGTGGAGTTGTTGACCTTGATCCTCTCTGAAACCATCATGGTGGCCATCCTATTTAGCGGGGCTGCATCTACAAGTCAATCCCATGTTAATATGGGCACTGGGGTCCGTAACTGGTCAGAAGTGACCTTAGTGTACCTGCGCTACTAAAGGAATCCTCCTTCCCAGACAACTGGAGACGCTTACAGCCCTAATTCCCAACTTCACATGGACCTCAGTGAACGCTGTCAAGAGTGAGTCCCATGAATCCTTTCTTCTTGACGAGATTTCCAACTAGTTCCCTTGCTTTTCTGTTTTTTTTTCTACAAATTAACTTACCACCTTTTGCTTTCTCGACTACTTTGGAAGTAGTTTAAAGAAGACCCTAAAGGGATTTAAAGAACACTTGTGACCTCGCCTGCATTGCACTGCTTATTGCTAGCTACTACTTAACATGACCAGAAGACAGACTACAAAGCAGTCAAAAGCAATTAATGTTCAGGTGTCATTCCTCTGCCTAAGTCCCTCAGTGAACTCCCCATCTTTTTCTTTTTTTTTTTAATGTTTCCTTTTTTGTTTTCTGGTATTGAGGATTTAATCCAGGGGTGCTTCACCACTGAGACACATCCCAGTCCTTTTTATTTTTATTTTGAGACAGGGTCTAAGTTGCTGAGGCTGGCCTCGAACTTGTAATCTTCCTGTCTCAGCCTCCTCCGGAGCCGCTGGGATGACAGGCATGTGCCACTACACCCAGCCATGTTTTTGTTTTTTAGCGATGGGATCTTCCTATGTTGCCCAGGCTGGCGTCTGGGTTCAGGTGATCTTCCTGTCTCAGCCTCCATGCAGCTTCCTGAATCCAACCTTGGGTCATACACTCCCCTTCTGAAAAACCCATGGGGCAGGGGGTGCTCAGTGGTCAAACCCAAGGCCTCAAGCATGCTAGGTAGGAATTCTACCACTGAGTTATATCCCCGCATCACAAAAAATAAAAATGAAATACCCATCCTCTCTTCCTGGCTAATTCCTACTTAGTCTGGAAGGCCGAATGTGGATATCCCCTAGATAATTAAGAGCTCTCTGAACCACCCTATTTCTGTAATTTCACATTTTATTAACACTAAGAAGTTTGGCATAAGATGCCCTTCAATAGATGAATGGATAAAAAAAAAGGTGGCATATATACACAATGGAATATTACTCAGCAATAAAAGAGAATAAAATCATGGCATTTGCAGGTAAGTGGATGGAGTTAGAGAAGATAATGCTAAGTGAAGTTGGCCAATCCCAAAAAAAACAAATGTTGAATGTTTTCTTTGATATAAGGAGGCTGATACATAGTGGGGTAGGGAGCAGGAGCATGGGAGGAATAGACGGACTCTAGATAGGGCAGAGGGGTTGGAGGGGAAGGGAGGGGGCATGGGGTTATTAATGATGGTGGAATGTGATGATCATTACTATCCAAAGTACATGTAGGAGGACACAAATTGATGTGAATATACTGTGTATACAGCCAGAGATATGAAAAATTGTGCTCTATATATGTAATAAGAATTGTAATGCATTTTGCTGTCATATATAAATAAATAATAAGAATAATTTTTTAATTAATTTTTTTAAAAAAGATGGAAGCTCATGCCTGAACCACCCAAATGTTCTTCAGTGGCAATTCAGGCCAAATTTCAACAATATACTTTGGGATAATGTTTCTTTTTTATTAAAATCTTTCCCCATATCTTTTATTAAAGATCCATTAATAGCAAAAAAAAAAAAAAGAAGAAGAAGAAGAAGAAGTTTGGCATAAAGTAATCACCTAGTAATTGCTTTACTAATAAAGAAATGAATAAGTGTGAGTGAGTGATGGAAGAGTAGGACCTCAATACTTATTGAATGACTGAACTGATTTAAAAGGGAAAATTTTAAGCTGGGTGTGGTGGTGCACACCTCTGATCCCAGCAATTTGGGAGGCTAAGGCAGGAGGGTCACAAATTTGAGGCCAGCCTCAGCAAATTAATGAGGCCCTAACGACTTTGACTTAGCAAGACCCTGTCTCAAAATTAAAAAAAAAAAAAAAAAAAGAGGGTTGGGATGTGGCTCAATGGTTAAGTGACCTGGGTTCAATCCCTGGTTCCAAAAAATATATAAATAAATAAAAGGGAAAATTTGTTGCCTCATATCACTGAAAACTTCAGGGTAAAAACTGAATGTGAATGTATAAATAAATGGATACGTGGGTAGAGGCAGGTAAAGGTGGAGACAGACAGAAAGACGTGTGGAGAGATAAGTTAGCTAACAACAAATCTTCTCTTCCAGCAGTCTTGGAAGTGTACTAGAGCCAGGACTTTCAAGCGACAGCCATCTGGGCAGACTCCCAGGCCTTAAAGCCATATTAAAGAGGACATAATCCTGACCACTTTCGCCTGGCACTTGAGATATTCCTGAGCCTCGGAAAGAGAGAGATGAGTGATACCAGGGCCCAGTGGAACAAGGAGAATGTCCTTAAACAGAAACAGCAAGTGCTTTTTCCTGTTAGAGATTAACTCCCTGGCAAAGTACAGCATGCCTGCCACCCAGCTGGAGGTGGGTGAGGGATCTTGTTCTTTAGAGCCCTCAGAGACCTTGAACTTAACCGAATGAGCATCTTGCTCCATCCCAAAAGGAAGCAAGACAAACCACCCAGGTTTCTGAACTTTTGGCCTAGAGCCTCCTTCCTTTGATTAGGTAAGAAGCTGAGCGAGTTCGGCTTCTGAGGGGGGTCCTGCGAGGCCTCCAAGCCTCACTCTCCCACCAGTCCTGAGTGTGGGCCCTCTCCTCCCCAGCACTGTCCTGTTAAACAGGGCGAATTTCCATTAGGAGGAAGGAAAAAGGAAAACAGAAGTTGTCCCCCAAAAAAGTGAAAGCAGCTCCCAAAGCTTGGCCTGAGCCCAGGAGGCTGTAGGAGGAGACCTTGAACTTCCTGATCCCCAGCCACAAGCCCAAGCCTGTTTCCTGGCCCACAGAAAGCTCAGCACCCCCAGGGACAGAGCAGGGCTTGGGGCCAGCGGATGAGGCCTCCTGCTCCTGTTCAGGCTCTGCTGAAGCAGAAGGAAGCTTTTGTAGTTAAGGTTAGGCCGAATGGTTTCACTTCTTTCCCTTCTTCTTTACCACCATCACCTTATGGTCTCAAAATAAGTCCTCTTCAGGGCTGGGAATATAGCTCAGTTGGTAGAGTGCTTACCTAGCATGCATAAGGCCCTGGGTTCAAGTCCCAAGTACCACATACACACACAAAAAAATTCCTCTTTGGTTTGCCAAGTTCTTGTGGCAGAGAAGAAGGATCCCTTCTAGTACCTTATAGGCTTTGTCTTCCATTGCACACCTTCCCTCTCCTACTTTCAACCTCCTCCTTTTTGTCCGGGAGGATTACTAGGGATTGAACCCAGGGGTGCTTTACCACTGACCCACATCCCAGCCATTTTACTATTTATTTTGAGACAGCATCTCACTAAGTTTCTGAGGCTGGCCTCCAACCTGTGATCCTCCTGCCTCAGCCTCCCTGTAATCGCTGCGATTACAGGCTTGTTCCACCATGTCGGATCTCTCTCTCCCTCCGTTCTTCCTACCCTTTTCCTCCCTCCTCTATCTCCTTTCCTCTTTCTCGTCTTCCTCCCTCTTCCTCTTCCTCCCTCTCATCAGAGTAAAAACAAAAGACCCTGAATGCCTCAGCCAACCTGCAGTAGGGTGACTCCAAGCCAACCAGAGGCCTCTTGCTCCTCAGGCAGATAAGTCCCAAATGAATAAAGAGAAACAGTTCCTGCTTTACAGCACAGAATGTCAGCAAAAAAAAAAAAAAAACAAAAAAACACTTGAATTTCAGTTTATTCACCAGAAAGACCCCCCCTCTACTTCAGTACCACTAAGCTACATCCCAGTTCTTTTTTTCTATTTTGAGATGGGGTAGACCTAAATTGCTGAGTCTAACCTCAAACCTCAAACTTGTGATCCTCCTACTTCTGGGTCTGGAGTAGCTGGAGTTACAGATACCACCTCACCCAGCAAAAACCTCTTCTTTAAGCAAGACTCTGCATGGGTTCAGAAGCCATACTTCTGGGGTTCAAATCTGGTCTCTGCTAATCATGTCTGGCCATACTCAAGGAAGTCACTTACTCTCCTCACCTGTAAAATGGGTTGGTGTTTCTGGGTGAATCAAACTACCCCTGGCGGGTTCTCAGCGTGATGCCTGGCAAGAGGAAGGCTCCCTCCTGCTCTCACTCCACTTCCACAGAACTGCTCCCACCCTCCCTGCCAATCCTTCAATCTCACCTCCCCCCATCCTGTCCTTCAAATGTGTTGTGTCGTCATTTATTTGCAAACATGTCTATTTGATTTCAAATGAAAATTCTTTAGCATTTGCATTAAAACCAAAACACATGCAAGGAGAGAAAAAAGAGAGGTTGACAGACATGTTAGTAAACAGTGAAATATTTTTGAAGGCTGGATGCAGATAGCTCAGATGCTAGAAGGTTCAACTTGACAGACATTTGGTAGGAGACATGTGAATATTAGCAGACCGACCTTTTTCAAGGGATTAATAACTAGGAACCTGAATCCCTCCTCCTTCTTCCTTCCCACCGGCACTCAAAGGGCTACTTACTGAATGACCAAAGCTTCATGCCTTCCATTTAAGGGATCCCCATCTGATCCTGATCATTCCCACAATTCATTAACAATACTGCAAGTTAAATATTAAATTATTCATGCAAACAGTGTGCAGTGAGCCAAATGCAAAAAAAAAGAAAAGAAAAGAAAAGAAAGAAAAAACCCTTCCTGTCAGGGATGTCGGCTGTGTAGCCAGCCATTGAAAAAAAGGAGACAAAGAGCCCAAATTGAGACCCACACACCGCAATCAATGTTATGACCACAGAGTCTCCAGAGTTCCGGAGAGTGCACCAGGTTGGGGGACGGGGGTGGGGGGCACTGGACTGTCACAGCCCAAGGGCAGAGTGTCACTGGACCACAGGAGTCTACAGCCAGGCCTGTTCGTTTTCAGAAGCCGAAGACTTCTTTTGTCCTCTGCGGGAGGCTGGGGAGTAGGTTCCTGTGATCGTCCCACTCCCTCCACACCCCGCTCCACCCCAGCAGGAAAAGCCCAGTTCTGAAGCCTGGATCCCAAGCAAGGGGGACTTTTCGCTCTCCTCCCTCTGCGCGCAGCTTCTCAGAATGTTGGGTTGTCTCCTGTTTCAGAGGCCAAAGCGGCTCCAGAATCGAGGCCAGGTCCGACTTTGGAGTAAAGCAGCTCAGCTCTGGGGTTCGGGGTGTCCATCCTCCAGGGGGGTGACCTTGGCATCCGCTGCCTCGGCGCCAGGCTCCACGCTCGGTTCTTCTCCCTTGGACTGTTCTCCAGACTTCTGGGGCTCAGGCACCACCTCGGTGCCCTTGCTGGAGTGGCACCCCATCTCAGTGGGACGCTGTGGGTCAGTGCCCCTGAACCCTCGGAGAGGAGGCAGGTACGTGCGCAGGGCGTCAGGAGCCAGAATTAAATAACCCTCGGACCTCTGCTGCAGAGGGAGCTGGTTCGGTTTCTATGGCTACAAGGAGACGCCCCCGGTGCACAGGGAGCCCCCTGCGGAGTGGGCAGGGCTTGGAGGGTGGCCTTTCCAGAGAACCCGGCTGATTCCTGGCGGTGTGCCCCATTCATTCCACCGGAGGAATTCCCTTTTGTTTAGCTTCTTTGTAGATCCCCCACCACCACCACCACCACCTAGTTACCTGTAAACACAGCCTGCCTTCACACGCAACCAAGGCCCTGTTACCATGCAACAAGCCGTGGCCTCCCTCCTTCACATCCAGGTCTGCGAGTCACAGACCCCCCACTTGCAAGCCAGCCCCTACCCAAAAAGCCAGGGTCACATCCAGGTCTGCGAGTCACAGACCCCCACTTGCAAGCCAGCCCCTACCCAAAAAGCCAACTCCGCCCAGTGTGGAAGAATGCGGAGTCCAAGACAGTGGACCCAAACATATAGGTAATTAAAAGAAGAATAGGCAATGGGTGGTACTGTGTGCCAAGTACAGTTCACATTAATTAACTTGTTCACAACCCTGACAGGTAAGTTGGGGAATCTGGAGTGTTTTCAATTTTGTTTTGTTTTGTCTTGTCTTATTAGAAATCAAACCCAGGTGCACTTAACAATTGAGCAATATCCCCTGTTCTTTTTATTTTTTCATTTTGAGACAAGGTCTCACTAGGTTGCTGAGGCTGACATGGAACTGGAGATCCTCCCGACTCAGCCTCCCAAGCCTCTGGGATCACACACCTGCACCACAGCATCCAGCTCCATCCCTTTTCATTTTAAATTTTAAGACAGGGTCTCACTAAATTGTCCAGGCTGACCTGGAATTTTTCCATCCTCTTGCCTCAGCCTTCCGAGTCACTGGGATTATAGGTGTGCACCACCACACCTGACAGTTTATATTATTTAATCCTTATTTACAGATTGAGACACTGAGGCACAGAGATTGAGTGATCTGAGGTAGTTACCAAGAGCCAGGAAAAAGAAGAGTTGAGATTCAAGCCCAAGTCATAAGCTTCCATCCTCTTTATCCCTATGCTAATTTTATTTTCTAATATTTTTTTTAGTCTTATCTAATTTTTTTTTCTTTTTTGTGTTTTGAGGATCAAACCCAGAGCCTAGTGCATGCTAGGCAAGGGCTCTACCTCAGGCTGGTGCTGAGATTGTAACCCAAGGGTAGAGTGTTGCCTAGTGCACTAGGCCCTGAGTTGGATCTCTCTCTCTCTCACACACACACACACAAAAAAAAAAAAAAACAAACACAAAATTGCTCAGGCTGGTCTTGAACTTACCTTCTGCCTCAGTCCCCCTAGTAGCTAGGATTACAGGATGACTCACCATGCCAGGCTTAATCTGATTTCTTTTAGAGATCCCATCAGGCCATCTTCATACACAGTGACAGGTATTATCCGCTAGGAAGTTGTCGATGTGTTGCCAGAGTCCGAGGCTAGGGAACCGGACTTCAGGTAAGTCCCAGCCCTCACCCCAAAAGAAAATCAAATGGCAAAAGTAATGGTGAAATAGGAAAGGAATATAATATTCAGCATAGCCATACTGGAGAGACAAGGGGACTAGTAATATCGGCCCCGTCTTCAGGGGTACCGATATGAGCTTCAGGTTTAAATAGGGGAAGAAACAAAACTGTGGGGGCCAGGGGGGGGGCAGCCCAGTATGCACAGTCAAGCAGTGGTCTGGTGGACCATTATCTCGGGATGGGTCAGGTGGGGTCTTGTCCACAATAAGAAACTTGCTTCTGCCTGGTTGGGGTGTAGGTAATTTTGACTCTTGTCACAAGCTGTTTATCCACCAGGTGACTGTAGGAGAGAATGACTCAGAGGAAGGACAAGTTAGAAAGGCAAGTTGGTGTTAGTTCCTCAGGTTTAGGGCAATGGCTGGAGACTTTTAGGTGCTGCTCCAGTGATCTGGAACAGGATGTTATAAGAGCTGTCAGTTGACAATCTGTTGATTATGATGTCCCTGTGAATCTCAGAATATCTTACTCTTATCCTGGTGCCTTTAGCCTTGAAAGGAGAGGATTAGCAGCTTTACTCAAGGCTTAAGGTAGGAAAGGAAACAGATGCAAAATGAAGGCAGAGACGCAAGCTTTATCCTGCTTTGGGCTACCCAGTGGACATCTGTAGGCCCAAGTGAAGGGTCAGTGCTTTTAGCAAAACCAATCTCTAAGTCCTTTTACAATTATGCTTTGGATTTGAGACACATGGGTAAAGATTTTGAATGATCCCTGATGCAAACACGTGTGTGTGTCTTTGTGTGTGTGTGTGTGTGTGTGTGTGTGTGTGTGTTGCTGGGCTTCCTGCAGGCTAGGCAGGCTCTCTACTACTGAGCTACACCTCTGGCCCTGAGAAACCACTGCCCCGTACTGAGAATTGAACTCAGGGGCTCTTTACCACTAAGAAACATCCCCAGCCTTTTTTTCCCCCCTCAATTTTTATTTTGAGACCAATCCTCACTAAGTTGCTTAGGGTTTTGTTAAATTGCTGAGGCTGGTCTTGCCATCCTCCTGTCTCAGTCTCCTGGGTCTCTAGGATTCCAGGAATGGGCCACTATGTCCAGCCCACAAACATTTTTTGAGTCTAGTGTGCTATAGATCTGGCATTAGGAATTCCTGTGATCTCTATTCTACCCTTGTTTTATTTTCTGATCACATAGGTTTCCTGTTCCTCACTCTTAACAGGGAACTGGTAATCCTGACCCAGCTCCTAGAAGGCTAGAAGGAGATCAAGCAGGCTGTGAAGTGACTTTTCAGAGAAGCAGGAGTTTTACAATGATTGTTTCCTGACTCCCCTGTGCATGCCCACTGCAGTCAGGTGACATCAACTCCCATTCACTTACAGAGGCCAGTGCATGCCACCCTAGGGTTCTTACACAAACCCTCCTGGTTACTCCTCACAATCACCCAGTTCTATGAGGAAGTGTTACTAATCCCTCTTTAGAATTGAAATCCAGAATCCAGAGGGGTCAGTTTCGTGGCTCCAGGTTTGAGGTCATGAACCTGGTAAGCAGCCAGCTCAGGATACATACCCAGGATCTTCGGCTTCCAAAGCCAATCTCAAGCTCCCTTCTGCCTGTGCCTCCACTTAACACCATTCCTCCCACCTGGACCTGGGCATTCAATGGTCTGCAAGAATGTGGCTAAACTCACCTATAATTCTCCTCCTCCTCCTCCTCCTTTTTTTTTTTTTAATTCAGGACTGGGGATTAAGGATTGGGTCCTTGGCATGCTAGGCAAACATTATACCAATGAGCTGCACTCCAGCTCTTTTTATTTTGAGACAAGGTTTTAAGTTACGGAGGCTGACCTCAAACTTGCAATCCTCCTGCCTCAGCTAACAAGTAGCTGAGATTATAGGAGGGCCTGGCTATAAATCACTTAAAAAAAAAAAAGTGTACCTATAATCCCAGCAGCTCAGGACACTGAGGCAAGAGGATCACAAGTTCAGCCTCAGCAAAAGCAAGGCTCTAAGCAACTCAGTGAGACTCTGCCTCTAAATAAAATTCAAAATAGGGCTAGGGATGTGACTTAGTGGTCCAGTGCCTCTGAGTTCAATCCCCGATATACCCCCCCAAAATAAAAAAACTAAAAAAATTTTTAAAAGCTTCTTGCCAACTGGGCTTAATAGTGTGACAATTAGGAAGATCAGATGTCAGATGATGTTGTCAGTTTCTATCTGCCATATAAATGCCAAAGTACATTGTGAGGGTGATAAAATACAAGAGGAACCTCCATTTACCTCCAATTCAGAGACCCTCACTAGGGCAAATCCTCATTTGGGAATTGAGCTTGTAAGGCCAACAGTCCTCTGGTGAAGCCTCCGAATTAATTTTTACTGAACCCAAGTGAAAGCAAGAGGCAGGCAGCAGCAGCTCCAGGATCCAGGAGAGAACATCTTGGATAGGGCAGGGATCTGTTCCGAGGCACAGTCAACAAGAACCAATGAAGGCTACTTTGCCAGGTGAACGGGGTAAGAGTCCTTGGCTGGTTTCTGGCCTCACCACGTGCAGGACTGGTTATATAATCTACGGGGCCAAAAAATGTAGGCCCTGTCTTTGAATGTTCAAAAGTCTTCAGGATTTCAACAATGACAGCAACACTTTAAATGAATGAAGAAAAGGGCCAGCTTTGTGGACCACATCTAACATCTTCCTCCACTTCTAGAAATGGATTTGCCACCGATGAAGACTATTATTTTCCAGATCCACCAGCTGACTTGGCTCGGGAAACACTGCCCTAGGAATAGAATGAGTCCAAGACATGGAGTTGGGACAGTCCCAAGATGGATAGGACCTCAGTAGGACACATTCAAAATGCTTCCAGCTTTCACTGACTCCTTAGGTAAAACAACTTTAAACCAAAACTCTTGCGTCTGAGGGATCTCAGAAATAAGATGGTTTACTCAGAAAAAGTACTAGGTTCTGAGACAAGCTTTTTTTTTTTTTGAGAGAGAATATTTTTTAATATTTATTTTTCAGTTTTCGGTGAACACAACATCTTTATTTTATTTTATGTGGTGCTGAGGATTGAACCCAGCGCCCCACGCATGCCAGGCGAGCGCATTACCGCTTGAGCCACATCTCCAGCCCCTGGGACAAGCTTCTGAAAACTACCAGCAGCAAGGCTAGATTGCAGCTGGAAGAATATCCACTAGAACAGAACTAAGCATTTTTTTATAACAAAAATTTGTTTTTGTTTTTTTTTTAATTGAGCAATTTTAATTTACAAAGTAGTAGAAACAGAATGTGAAAAGATATATTTAACTCCAATAACTCTTTTTTGAAGGTGGGTACTAGGGATTGAACTCAGGAGCACTCAACCCCTGAGCCAAATCCCCAGTCCTATTTTGTATTTTATTTAGAGACAGGGTCTCACTGAATTGCTTATCGCCTTGTTTTGCTGAGGCTGGCTTTGAACTCGCAAAACTCCTGCTTCAGCCTCCTTGAGCAGCTGGGATTACAATGTAGAATTTCCAAATGTAGAATTAAATTGAAT